AATCATTCTTCTGTTTTTAGTGTTTTTTTCTTTTAAACAGTCAAAGACGAATGATGGCGGTGACGTATACATCGTGATGAGCGATATATCCAGTGGCTGATACCATTTATGTCCATGAAAGGGATTTGTGTACAGGGGCATGTGAAGGCTTCCTTCTAATGTATTTTTCCATTTGTCCCAAACATAACAACTTCAAGTATTTCTTTTTTTTTTTTTTTAAACAACAGCATGGGTTTTGCAAATATACATTTTTCTACTCTATTTAGACTATTCTACATCCTGGTACTAAGCCAGAGCAAAGTCAGCCCCTATACTACGACACGCCATTTCTTTTTAAACACTATTTCCATGTTCTTTAATTCATACTTACAGTAGGCCACTGGATATTGATTTAATGTTTTTTTGACTACGAGTAAATTGTAATATTTGCAGCTACAAGGTATGAGTTTTTAAATATATATATATTTATATATTTATATATTTATATTCTTTTAAAAAGCATTTAGTCCTTTGGTCCCTATTTCCTAAGGAATGATGCATGTAAATTATCCTGGATTCTTCTCCTCGTCTCTTCTCGTTTTTTCTTCTTTAATCCAGAGCTTGCCCTGTCACAGAGCACAACACCTGTGTAGGCACAAAAACCAAAATGGCAGCAGGCTGGTGTGTGTGTGTTCGTGTGTCGTGTGGTTCGCTTCACTTCAGTTCTTGAGTTGGCATTTGCACGTATTTATACATTGTACAAAGTTCTTTTTTTTTCTTCATTTTATATCTTAGTGTATATGTTTGGTTTGCTTTTCTGTGTATTCTCTATATCCTGTGTCAGTATGCATGCTTTGAGCATAATGAGTCTATAAAGGTTTTTTTTTTTCCCCGTCATGTCTAAAAAACAGCAGCAAAAAGTTGGTCTCTGCAAAAAATCTTCTTCCACAGACGCCAAAGCAAAACAGGGAAAAAGAGGCATTTGCGAAGAAAAGAAGAATGAAAAAGAAGAATAAGAAAAACTCTGGGATCCTTCTTTCAGTCACCCAATCTTTCCACAGGTTTCTTCAGCAGGATCAAGGGACCACCCTTCCTTCATGATATGTAGCAGAGCAAGAAGTCTTTGTACTTTTACTGCACTTGTGGAAATAAGGTGTTGTGGCCCTTCATCCTGTGACACAGAGAGAAGAGAGACAGAAATAGTGGATTTAGAGCAGTGGTGCTGGCAAACATGCTCAGGGTTGCTGGATCCTGGTTATCACACAGACTGACAAGCACAACCAACAGCATGAGAAACCGACAGGAAAGGAAGGTGAAAAAAACATGAGGGTGTCAGTCAAAAACAGAAATAGGTGGGCTAAGAGTGGGATGGAAGATTCTTGTTGGAACCATATGAAGAAAAAGACATTTACTACATAAAAAGCCCCTCCTCATTTAGAATAACCATCCTGTGTGCAATAATGGAATAATGTATTGGACCCAAAACAAAGAACAAAAGAACAGGCTGTAATTGCTATAGTTGTCCAGTGTGAATAAAATAAATAAACTTTAATCTAGGCTCAACAGAAAACAAGAAAAAAACTCCTACACAATTCTTTCTTTAAATGTGTTTACAGACTATCATCCCTAATATGTGGTGAGCAAGGATGTGGGTGTGTCGCAACTAAGAAAACGGCTCCCCAGGAAACAAGATGAAAAGGTCTGATGGTGTGTGCCTTGTACTTCTGTTTTGTACCTATCCTGTAATGAGCTTATTACTATTTCATATGTCGCTCTACGCTGGGGAAGGGATTGAAACTTATTCTGTGTATTAAAGCAAACGCGGTCATTAGGAATATAAGCCGCCTCCTCAATAGCCCTGTGCCATCTCAAAAGTCACTAGCTTTTAACACAATTTCAACATGAACTCCAGCATTTTGGCATGAGCTATTTGTCTTTACATTACATCCCCTTAATAGTGCAATCTTTTGGAGAGCTCCATAAGACACCTGACTGTTAAGAGGCAGAGTTATTGATAGAACGACTTCATCACTTGCTGCTTGCCTGGATAGAAACAGCAGAGTTCATTGCATACACAACAGGAGAGGGTGTTGCCTGCAGTGCCACTGAGCTAGCAGAGCAAAGCAGCCGAGAAAAAGTATGGCCAAGAGGAAAAGACTACTTGCTTAGAAAAAAGGATATTTTTCACTTTGAACTTTTTAGAGACCACAAGGGTTTATAAAACTAAGGGAAATACTTTAATCGTATGTGTCTGCTAATGTAATTGTTAGAAAACTCAAAACAAATAACCCAGCTTTGTATATTTTTGTATGATTGTAAATGCATGTGTGCAAGTGGCTTTTGGCAAGTGGCTCTGCTTTGCTGTATCCAGCTCTCCTAGTGTAATTGGTTTGCTCCCTCATAAATAAATAAATGAGAAGTGATTCTCATGTTAGGGAAATAAAACAATCTTGCAGAAGTACTCCCTGTGCAGATGAAATCCACAGAGAAGTGGAGTGTCAACATTTACTTGTGCTTTTGGATCCAACTCTGGGGAATTAATTGGATACACAAACACAGGCCATCTTTCAACTGAAAATCTGTCGATCAGGACTGAAACATTGGTTACCTATATAAATTATAGCTGATTGTTGATGAATGTGGAGAGATATAGAAAGAGAAATGCAGTACATCCATACACATGAACCCACAAGAGAAAGTAAACATCACACGGTCACATAGTACATGAGCACAAAGGATTTAGCCCACTTCCAGGTCGTCCACCACCAGCAGCACGTCATTAACATTATATGAACCACAATACCAGCCAACAGAGGCATCAGTAAACTGCACTCCACAGACTGCCAATAAACAGAATACACTCTTTACAATCAAGTGTCTAGAGACAATTTGAGAGATACCAACGCCACGTCATGCAATGCAGTCACAGTCCCACCACATGACGTCATCCAAAAGAAAATGACACCATGGCCTCACTTACAGCTGTGGGAACTCGCTCCCAGACAGGAGGGGGTGTGGCTAATGCAGACAGGCCACCTCAAACTGTGATGGGCCATGCCAGGGCCACGTTGTTGGGTGCAAAAGAAGAAACAAACAATAGGATTTTCTTTTCCTGAAGTCACATATAAAACCACATCCACACTTGCCTGGCAAATGAAGTTATTTCTCTAAGGTTAAATAGAGAAAAACCTTTGATAACGCCCTTATCGAACTGGGTGCACAAGTCGCTCTCCATTGCTGAAATCGTCTCAGCCTGACAACATTTGTGGAGTAAGGAGTTGAATTGATGTTTTATATTCACAAAGTAACCCTTAAGGTAGAAAGGTGTTTTTTTTGGGAACTTGCCCTGTCTACTGTAATTGGATTTGCCCTGCATTGTTTGCTATGAGGGTGGCCATATAGAGATGTTTCCCCCCCTAAATTAAGTTTATCTTTAAGACACAGAACGCAATTTCAGAAAAGGTTGACTCCTAAGACCAGTGAAGAAATGCTGTCTGATCGTGTTTTTAATTCAACTTCAAAGTGAACTAGCAAAGCATTACAGCAAGAAAGACTCTGAAGTTATCAGTGCATTAAGGTTTTCGCACTTCTACCTTGGAACACAAAAGCTCATCACTCACATTTCATCAGGTTATTTCATCATAATAATGCAGGGGAATTTGAATTAAAAATATGTAGTTGTATTCACAGGCTCTAGCCTCGCTCCCCAAAACTTTCTTCTCTTGAACTTCTTAATACCTGTCAGATTTTGTACAGCAATAGGGGAAAATGACAAACACAAGGACAAAGGGACACGTGACAATGGGACTAGACACAACACAAGCCCAAAGCTTTCAGCCCTTTATGGTTTGTTCTGTCAATGCCCTTTCAAAGATCCTACAGTTATTATTGATAAAACAGTCTTGTTTGTTGTATTTACGTCTTAAAATGTTTGTCTTTTATTTGTGTAATCTATTTTATGAGGGGTCAATGCTCATGATTCTATATTTTGTGCATTGTAAATTGAAGAAACTGTTGGAATACAGTCATACTATTGTTTTATCAGATTTGATCAGAAAATGATTATTCTGTCTCTGTTTAAGTAGTAATTTAATGGCACAGTGATAGAGAGATTGTTTTTGTATGAACATTTTCACTTTCTCCTACGATCATCCCTAGTCTTGACTGCCTTCATGATAGGAATGATAAGATGATCATTTTAGATGACTTTTGAATGTCTCTGTGCCAAATCTTTGAGTCCATTTTACCTCCAATACTTCTGCAATAAAAAACAGACGTCTCTTACAGAGATAAGACTCCTGCGCATAATAAAACTGCAAAGTGATGAGCTCTACTTTCTCTTAAAAAATGTTTAACTGACTTTTGCATGTTGCTAAGCAGCACAGACAAGTCTACTGCTGTACTATTTCCAGCTGAACTGATGGCCTATGCATTTGTGAACTGGTGGTTTAACAGCTTCTATTGATTCCCTGAGCTATACCCAGCAGACAGCTATTTATGCACAGCTAGGTATTGATGATGTCATTAATTTGCACAGGAGCGACCTGCATCCGGTACAAATTAGATTTCGGACTGCAAAGGAAACAAAAACAATTTTGTGGAGCGAGGCGACCTGACAAAAATCTGAAGAGGCTCATTTAACCAAAATTGATGCCTGGAAGAAGCTGATGCCCTGACACATACAAAACAGCATGACAAAAATAGGCAGAAAAAGCATACAGGATCCAGTCTTAAAATGGATACATACATATATTCTGCAAATACCTTTGCTTATTACTATTACATGGTTGCATGCCAGTGAAAACACAGTGCAAACTGTTCGACCGCTAAGATGCGTCTTGCGCAATTAAAGGTCCTATTTTTGCTTATGCTCATTGTGCTTATAGTCAAAGCAACTTCCCAGCACTTAAATACTGTTGTTTAAAAAAAATATTTTTTAAGATTTGTAGCTGGATTATTGACCATATCAGTCATGTATGTGTGTGTGGTGTCTCCGTACCGGGGTATGGGCACAAGACGAGTCAGTAAGGTCGGTTGGCATCTTTTGGCCGCTTGAGCTGTACCTTCAGCCTCTTCATGCCTATCTGAAAACCATTCATGGCCTGGATCGCCGCTTGAGCACTGGACGGATTATCAAAACTCACAAAACCTGAAACAAAAACCACAGAGGAGAGCCGATGAGAAAAAAAGAATGGTCTGAGATTGAAGTTTCCACAAAAAGATAACAGAAATCGAGAAAGAGGCAGTGAATAGAAAAACGTGATGAAAGAAGCGAACAGGAAGACCCCTTTTAACTCCTGACAATGATGTGACAATAGGCCTTTGTTTTGTCTTTTGAGTAGATTAATTGGAAATCTCTGAATTAAAAAAGATTACACAAAGCGCCGGCTCCTAATAACGTTGATGTATAAAAAAATCAGTCAGCAAGTGCTATTGGAAACTTGGCAGGAACAAAAACATGAAAGATAACAGGAAAAGAGAGTTTTCAAAAGAAGTGTAATGATACCTGCTTCCGTGAGCAGGGTTTTGAGTTCATTTTCACAGGAAGATAGGTGTCATTTGGAAAAAATGTATATATGTCAAAGACCCAACATTGACGTCTTTGTAGCGATGTAAAAATAAAATAACATCTTAAAAAGCGGTTCCCTCAATAATTTATTAATATTTGTAGATTATGATATTGGACAGAAAGACATATTTTAGATCTTGCTTTGTCCAATCTGCTTAAAATGGGGTGGAGGGGCACATTTATGTGTCATTATGTGTCTCCATAGCCTCTCACAGCCTCATTTAAACACAATACATCATGGATAGAAAACAAAAAAATAAGAACATTGACAACACCGATATGTTGAGTGCTTTGGCTGTTGCAATGTCAACAAACACGTGAACAAAAACATTGACTGGGCTTTGTTTTCAATCACTTTGATGTAATCCAATTTCAGTTATATTCATTTAACAGCAACAAGGATAGTGTTGTGGATAGAGAAGTCAATGAATGAAACTAAAAGCAACTCATTCTTGATTGAAAGTCAGAAAGAAAACATAAATTTTGAGTCAGAACTTATAAACATTCAAGGACTCAGCCTGTCTTAAAATCACACAGATGAGCAATAACACAGCAGAATAATAAAAGATATAAAAGCTATAAAAACATTGAAACTTGTGTGTGTCAACAGTGCAAGACTTTATCTAATGAGTTACGTTCCTATGGCCGACCCTTAAACACACCGATATAATAACACATGAGGATGAGTGGACGTGTGGTGTCAGACCGGGGCTGTATCTCCATGTTCGAGTAAGGGCAGCAGGTTGTGATGAGCTGGGGGTCTGCAGGACACGGGTGCTGAAGCTGAGTTATCGCCTGCTGTGGAGGCTGAATTAGCCCACAGCCCTTCCACGGCATCGGGACTTCTCGCCAAGCCCTTATCAGACATCCATGTGATTGACAGGCCGAATTTTCCACCTGCCAGCTGATTTGATCACACCGCTATGGGTCCAATTTAATTTGGGGGGAGAGGGCAGGCTTTTGTCAGCGCAGGTGAGATAAGGCTGCTGCTTTTACAAACCCTTTAAACAAACTGAGCAGGGAAAGGGCCTGTCAGCTGCCAGTGATCCTCTGCTCCGATCTCCTCCTGCGTACGCATGCACCGACTCAGCCTTTAATGAACCCTCATACCTCACGTTCTACATGCCAAATATGTCGGCCGGTGTCAGGGCACAGTTGTACAGGGGAAAAGTTTGGTGATGGAATAAAAAGGCATCTGGAAACATTCAAATACATTACATACTGTATGTATCATAAAATGAGATGTCGTGTTGGCTGCTCTTTTTAAGGCTCAATGCCCTGAACAACACCATAGTGGGAAATAAGAGAGCCCTGCACTACACCATATCAGTGCACAATGAGTTTTTATGCATTTTTAATGTTTTACGATGATGATGATGATGGTATGAGAACATGTGGCCCTGTCCTCTGTACACTTTTTTGGTTGTGATAATGCTAGATCATACACACTTTGAACAGATTTTATGCTGCATGTATTTTTACCTATAATGTGAAAATCTCTAATGAAACAGAGAGATTGACTCACATTTAAAGTTTTCCCACACGACACTATGAAATGCATTCAAAATGTTAATCCAGTCAATGACACAAACAACGCTTGATCACTTATGATAATTATGTGACTAAACGATGCAAGTTAATTTAAGTATTTACTGATTTGAAGGTATTTACAGTAAGTGTGTCTTCAATGGGAATCATGAAAAACTATTCAAACATTTTTTTCCAGCAATGTGTTGTTGGAATATACTTAGATGCCATGGATTAACTGTACTTTATGAAAGGAAACTCTGAAACACTGTTAAAACAATGTATTAATACATGCAATATTGCACTATTATCCTACATTAATTTCTAAAACTAACTATGCCTAACTGCATTCACTATTTATTTTATTAATTCTGTCCAGAAAAACTACAGGACTTCTGTTATAACAATTAGTGTGTAAAAAATACAATGGAATGAATGGATAATTTGTTATATTTCCAGCAAGGATCTTAATTACGAGCCATGTGAAATACGCCATTGAGGCTGATGAGGTCAACTCCCTTTGTCCTTCTCCTTTGTTGAGTGACAGTTAGTGATAGTGAGAGGCATATGTTTAGAAAAGAGCCCAGCGAGCCAGACAGGCCAAAAGAAAGACAGTGTCACGAGATGGACAGCAAAGAAAAGCCTCATAGAAGTGCCATGCTGAAGAGAGAGTGAAGGAAAGCCAATGCTGAGAGTCTGCCTGCGTCTCCCGGGGGCTGCTGTCCAACTAAATCAACAGCACAGGCCCACACTATAGTCTATTATTAGCTCTTTAAGCCCGTAGATTCCTCGTGCACCTTCTCTATTGGACCGAACTTCTTTGCTGTGTGGGAGGTGGAACATGGGGAGGTGGGAGAGTTATGTTCAACCGGTGGCTCTCTGGTGGGGCGTGGGGGGCTGAGAAAATCTCTTTTGTAAAGTAAAATCAAATATGTAAATACTATAATTGTAGTGGGAGTAATGTGGGACGTAACATCGGTTTACAAAGTAAAGATGCAGGCAAGAACTTTATTTCATACGACTTATTATGAATGACAGTGTTGTTGTCTAATCTCAACCATTTCCAGTTTCAAAGAAGTCATCTAGTAGTTTTCTGTGTGGAGACATTTCTATTGCCTCCCAGAGGCCATTTCATAGACAATGACAAAGACATAAATGTGGAAAAGTCTCTAAGTCTCTAAAACACAGTCTAGATCAGTCTTCCTCATGAGGAGGTGGATTATGACCCTCTGGTGCGTCACAGGCGTGAATCCAATGGGTTGTGACAAAGGGTTTTTGAAAATCCCTGAGTAAAACCGCTCCACCCTGATCGCCCCATACACCACAGTGCAGGCCTTTTATTTTCCACACGTCACTGTGGGTCATGTATGGATCAGCCAAAAACACATTCTCACAAACGTGCTCGAGTGTGCGAGTGCCCTGCCCCTTTCGCCTTGTAGAAGCCCCCAAACAGAAGAGTCTTGTCATGGATCAACTGCCCGGTAAAGACTTCAGACTGAGAAGGATGTGGAAAACATGGATATAGAGTATATTGTGAGTGGAAGGGATAGCAATGCAAGCAATTTATACATGTTTACTTTGAAAACACAGAAAACTGAGATTTTCCACGCATCAATGTCAGCTGACAAGCTATAATAACTCAGGCCTGTTAACCTAAACTGATTGAGTTCACATGGCCTCAAACCTTGGAAGCTACCACAAGTCAAATGTAATTTTAATGTGAACTTAATTTTTGGACAACAGAGACATTTCTCTTAACATGAAACACTGCTGGTTTGCACAACACTGCTCCAGGCGAGCACACATATTTACTGATTGGTTAATAATGTGATTTTAATGTCAAAAGTAAAATAGTATATAAAATATAAAAAGAGCACAACATTTACAATCTTGGATATTTTTACTATTACCTTCTTTATCAAATAAGAAGTAAAAACCTGTCATGTTTCAAAATGAATTTTAGTCTTTCATTAAAATTTTGCAATAATAAATCCTTGAAGTGTACACATCCCTGGATCTCCCTTCTTGCCTCTGCCCAGCGGAATGTAACACCACCTTTAAAATGTTAATTGTGCCTTGATTAGAATAGACAGTGGGGATAAACGCAAACTAATTGGAAGAAAGGAGTGAGAGGCGAGAGTGGATTGCCAAAACACAACCTAATTATTAATGACATTTTCAATGTTTTTTTGTTTTTGTTTTACTCACCAAAACACTTGCTCTGATTGGTCGCCCGGTCCACAAAGACTTTGGCAGAAATGACGTTGCCAAAAGGCAGGAACATTTGCATGAGCTCCGCGTCTCCAAACTCTTGCGGCAGGTGATAAATAAACAGGTTGCAACCTTCTGGCCCTGGTGATGAGAGCGAGACAACAGGATGGATTATGTGCATTCATAACCACAAAGACAGCCAGACCGCACACAGGCTGACCTCTGCAACATGGGGACACAAAATATACAATTGTGACTTTGAAATACCTCACCCAGCACAATACTTTTGAATATAGAAAAACTGATATTTTTGGAGCAGTATTGTTGCGTTATCAATGTAAATTTGGAAAATAAAACAAAAACATATTCACCGTAAATGGTGCAATGAAATATCACATTTGAACGTTACTTCGACATTATTTCAATAATATATGCAATGTATGTGGAACAAATACCCCAAACACTCAACATAATTAAATACACATTTAATGAATGCATAAGGTGCCTTCCCATTGTTGCTTGGTCAGATGGTTTTAAGATCTTAATTTGGAAGCGAATCCCTTATTTAACATAAAATCTTCATTAGCACATTTTAATGCACTCTGTACTGTACACGCAGAGCACGGAATGGTATGTCAGGGAATACAACATAAAAATAAGCTAAGAGTTACATTTCACTGAATCTAAGAAGGGATCCAGCAGTAAGTAAACATGATTATTTGACTGGTAGATTAACATGGTGCTCGAGAATAATAAATAATGGATATAAAAAAATCAATAGAAGTGCTATAACATTAATAGAATACTAATTGAGTTTACTTTTAGCTGCTTATGAAGTGAGCAATGTCCCTCCACTACAACTGTACTAAATGAGTTGCAATAAAACATTTTTCTTGTGCAATTCTGACACCAAATTATAGAGGAGGACTCAAAACAACCAAATCAATATAAACTTCTATCCAGTGTGGGAACATCGATAATCCAATGTGAATCAATGTATCATATAAAGTAAAACACGGCGGCAGTGCAAAGAAGTGAGAAACCACAGCACGCATTAAGACATAAGCCACATTTTTTTTGCCCCAATTCCTGAGTATAGTGACAGTTGGGACTTTCTTTCCAATCTCTCCCTCTCCACGCTTCCACACTCGCTCCAACAGCTGCCACATATTGTACGGGCCAATCTGGATAAGGGCTGGACTGGACTGGAGTAAGCCAAGTACAGACACCCCCCCTCCTTCGCCCCCACACCCCACCAACTCTCCACACACACACACACACACACACATCATCGGCAGGGGCCTTGGGATGTGATGGACTCAGGGACAGTAAGCCCGCAGCTGGCTGACTGGCTACTATTCTGTCGTGTCTCAGTGCTCAGCATGATAGCATGACCAGATGAGACTGAGGAGGTCTGCTGCTGGGGAGGAGAAGCCTGATAAGAGGAATGCAGTGCTGGCCAGGCGCGCTGAGATACAGGACACACACATATACACACTAAAGATTATGTTTTTATTTATACTGGCTGGATATCAGTGCTGCTTGTTTTCTCCGCTCGCATTCAGATATTATGTAGAGCTTGTGTGGAGCTTGTATACTGAAGGAGCGGTCTAGGAAAATGGATGGGATTTCTGGGGGTGCCCGCTGTTTCGCATGTCCAAAAATAATGGAGAAAAACAGAACAAAAAGCGATCCAATTTTGCACATACGTTGCTATTTTTATTTTTGATTCATCCGTTCAATCAATTTGTCCGCCTGGCAACTCTGTCATATAATGTTTAGAGACTAATTTCACAAACAGGCAGTTTTGAAAGAACACTAAAGTGCGCCAAAATGCTGAATATAAGTCTTATTGGGCAGTCATACAGAAAGATAATTGATAGTGACAAAATCTGCCAAATGGAGTGATTTACAGTCACAGTATATCCTATGCTTTATTACATCTAATGCTATGGCACAAGAGTGAACACTTTGTTAGGAATGGCAATAAATGATTATGCATGCAGCTAATTAATGTGATGAATATTTATAACCACTTAAACACATTGTAATGGACTGATTAAGCAGTCTGATGCTGCGAGTTGGAATTAGTGCAGTTTTTGAATAATGACAGACTAACTTTCCATCTCACTGCTAATGTTCATCTCTATATACGAGAGGCCTTTTTCTCACATTTTCCCCAGCCAGCTCTTTCCTGCTAATTCAAAGCAGCGTAGCTACATTAGAATGGAACATGGCAATTATCACCTTTTATCTTGGGTGGGCGCGCTCACTAGCTCTTACCTTCCCTCTGTTGCTGGGGAATGATGGTTGGTTGCTGGGGGAACGCTTGGCTGATTGGCGCATAGGCGGCAGGGTAGGCTGCTGTTGCAAAGGGAGAAGAATTTATGTTGCATCTGCATTTTTATATTTGACTCAACACAAGTTATACTTTTCATACAGTATTTTGAGGTGATACTGATATAGCACAAGTACTGTAAACAACATCCCTATGAGTTGAAAAAAAAAAAGTTAACTGAAAAAGTCATACATTAGTCAGTGAGCCGAAGTGACTCCGACACAGCAGCTTGGACTCGGACACAGATTTGAGTGGATTGTGGACTCTACAGACTCAGTCTTGGAATCATCTATAGTCTCAGTCCTGGACTCACCTACAGACTAAGTCCTGGACTACAGAGTCAGTTCTGGACTGAAGACAATAAAATGCGCATGAGTTAAGAGTAAATGTAAGTTATATGTTGTGTAATCTATTACAGAATGTATTAGTGACTTCATATTAAACCTAACACTAATTAAAGGGTCTACTGATTAGAACATCTTGTCATATTTAGTCTTTGAATACAGATGTATGGCAGGTGGCTGAAACATTTGGCAGAGTTGATGATAGTTCAAAAAATACATTACATATTACTTACAACAATTGTTTTATTTTTTATATATATATTCATATCTTCAGTAGCAAGATAACATGTTCAGATTTGCTGTTACAGAATGAATATCTGAATCTGAATCTGTGTCAAGTTGTCTAATCAAGGAAGAAATGTGGCTTGTCTTGTCGCTATCTCTGGCTGTCATAGTGAAGTGACAAACACCGGTGTAGTGTGAAGGGGACAGATGGAGAGGGAGGCTGAGCAGGTACAGGAGAGACAGCTCACCTGCGTAGTGCTGGACGCCAGCGTAAGCCTGTTGGAGAGGGTCAGTCACCGTTGGACTCTGTGCTGCAGGAACAGGAAGAGAGCCAGAAACACCAGTGACTGAGAGGAAGGCTCAAGCCAAATGTAATACAGTTCTGTTGGAATTTCTTTGTAAAATTGGAAACAAACACGCTGAATAGAGAATGGCCACAAGGCTCTTACACAAACATGGATCAATTTGCATATGTTTTTTTGTTCAAAGTCAAAGCATCATTTTGTAGTCGGACAAAGGGTAAAACAACACCAGCATCGGAAAACTTAGTATGTATTAATACTGTATTTCTTCCATGTATTGAGCAACATGATTATTGCCCCGGTGACACTAAGGAAGGTAGAAAAACAAAATTAAAGCACTTATTAACTCATTGGCAAAAACAATCAGGGTGTGTAGAGTATTTACTATTGGAAGACAGCCATCTGTTTGTTTCTATGGAGATGTCATTTTCACAGCATGACATTAAAACTAATCCTACGTCAATCCAGGCAGAAACAAATACATGTACATCCTTATTACAGGAGGTTATTGCAACTTGTGTCATGGCGTGGACTTTTTGTTGATTAACTTTACCCAGTTTTATGTGTATGTATTTGTTTTGTTGAGTTTGACTCCAGGTCTGTTCAGTTGACCGCCTGCCTGCATGTGTTTCACTTGAATCTGCCTGTGCTCCTCTTTGTCACTGTTGGTCCATTGTGTTTTCCTTCCTGGTTCTTTGCAGGTTTGATTCTGGATTTTGAAGTTCTGTTTGGAGACCTGAATTTTGTTTGATACATGTATCTTTTCAATCCCCAATTAAGATCTCCCTTTGTTTGGCGTTCATGACACATTGTGGAACTCACAAAGCTATAATAGCAGAGGACTCCCATCACAGAGCTAACCAGGCCCTGTCCTGCTTAGCTTCTGAGATCTGACACATTTAGTCACATACATGTGGCGCCACAATAGTATTTCTATTTGCAACTTGTCTATTTGAATAATGTGCAGGTACTATGGTTGTGTTCTCAATCAATCTTTACCTAATCTAACCCTTTCGTCTTAGTGCCAACCGGTAGAATCCAAAAAATCCACGGTATTTAGATTGGTAGTTTTTCAATCCAAAATGGGTTAATATTGTGGGTTTCAGGATGATTCAAGTTGTTTAAGCATTGTTTTATCATTGCTTGAGAGATCTGAATGCCTCAATGTTATGAATGCAGCACTGGAGCTAGCAACAAACAGTTAAGTTACAGGAAGAGACCAAATTGGAAATTGGCTGAGCTGGTGAGGGAGCACTGGGGGTAGGATCACAGTGGGAGTGGGAGAAATTTGGGTTGTCATTTCTCTCAGTTCTTCAAAATGCCTGTTCGCCCCAGATGTTTGCATCAAATATTAACAACATGCCAAACAAACCACTTTGTAGTTCATTACAATTGCAGCTGCCTCTGAATAATGCAATGGCAGAGGGGGAGTGTGTGTCTGTCAGTTCTTCAGGAATGAACCCCAGACAACATTAAGAAGCTGAGGACGGGACGAGACACATAAAATTAACCGTAATAGACTGATGCATAGAAGTGATGAATTCATCCTGATACTGAGGATGGCAGCTCCAAAATCTGCTGAAGACACTCTTGACTGACCCTGGAAGCTTTAAAAAAAAATCTTTGCTCAAATATGAAGATGTCAGATGGAAAGCTGCATAGGAATTGATTTTGTTTCAAGCAGCATGCGTTTTGGAATGTGTTATTCTAATTAAAGCTTGGCACCTAACTTTCTAACTACAGAAAATGAAACTTGTAATAAAATCTATCTAAAAAGTTCTTAGCTCAAAAAAGAGTATTTTCTTGGCCCTCCCTTAGATCAGCTTATTCAGACAGATAATTGAAAAAGAGAAGACCACCTTTTCTGAACCAAAACCAGCTCTCGGGCCGAAGTGTCAAATAGTGACAAATAGGGACTAGTGTGCAACAACACAACAGCCACTATTCTACGTTGACTGCTGCATGTAGGGAATTTTTTCAGTATAAAGAAGCTACTACATACAAGTTGTATTAAAATCTGTTATTTAATTGTAAACTTGAGCTCATTGATTCAGCTTGTGTATGAATTCAGGCCGTAAAAAGTGCTGTGTAGAAACTTAGTGTGGCGCTCGCTCTCCGTCACTGACAGAACGAGGGGCAGCGCTGTTACAAACAGGCTGCCTCCTCTAGCCTCTACAGCGCCGGTAAACAAAGCAGCATGTGGCTGCCGGATTCTTCCCGGAAACCGGATTCGTCCGGAAGTTCAGTTTGCGCATGTCAAAAAGTGTAAATAAACATGTAAACAGTTTGTGTTGTTATATACAGATTATATTCTTGATTTGTGCTCATATGTATCAAGGTTTATTACGAGAAATGGCGGAAAAAGAGCTCCAAGAAAAAAATACTTTTAGTAGCCACAAAGCTAGCGCCCAGATGCGTTCAAAGGCACACGGAAATGAGGCTAGCACATAGACAGTTTAATTCTTGATTAGATTCATTTCATTTACTTGTTTAACTAATGAATAAACACAGAGATACACATAACAGGTGCACAATATTTAAACAAGTAAAGAACAGTTAATCTAATCAAGAATTAAACTGTCTATGTGCTAGCCTCATTTCCGTGCAGTGTTGCCAACTTGCCAACTTTGTCGCTAGATTTAGCGACTTTTCAGACCCTATAGCGACTTTTTTTCAAAAAAGCGACTAGCGACAGATCTAGACAAAGCATTAAAATCATTAAATGTTGTTAATGTTGAAATTATTTTTGTACATTTGTAGTTCTAAACATATCTAGGGTGTTTTTTACTCACTTTTGTCTCTCCCACAACGTTATTCCTCTCTCCTACAGTGTCCGTTACAGTTATTTGCAAATAGCCAATTATGCAAATTAGACTATGACGTCATTTAGCGACTTCTGGCGACTTTTGGGACAGCCAATAGCTACTTTCCTTACTGAGGAGTTGGCAACACTGTTTCCGTGTGCTTTTGAATGCATCTGGGTGCTAGCTTTGTGGTTACTAAAAGTATTATTTTCTCTGAGCTTTTTTTCCGCCATTTCTTGTAATAAACCTTGATACATATGTGCACAAATCAAGAATGTAATCTGTATATAAAAACACAAACTGTTTACATGTTTATTTAAATTTTTTAACATGCGCAAACTGAACTTCCGGATGAATCCGGTTTCCGGGACGAATCCGGTTTCCGGGACGAATCCGGCAGCCACATGCATGTTAGGAGAAAGTGGCTATAGCTCCGTTGGCTCCTAACTGCAGACACAGCAAAACAGCCCAAATGACGCAACAGTGCAGAAGAGAAGAGGGAACTAACGCGAAACAATTATCAAAGAAGGAATCAAGCGCGAGTGAATATACGTAGCGTTAGCTTACATTGTATCATCTGGAGCGACCTGCGGGAGCCGGACTGCCTCGGACTATTAATGCTCGGGCTACATTTGGACGAAAAACTAGCGGTAATCTTTCAGTTATATATTTTGTTAGCAGTGCGTTGCTTTTGTACCATTTCATCAGTGATTGTTGTACGTCTTACATGAAGTTGCGCTAATCCTAATGTTAGCATATGTATGAGATCGCAAACAAAACTTGATGGCTTCGTGGGAGGAGAGCGTAGGGGAAATGAGAAGCCCGTGAGCGAGTTGGGGGCGGCGCAAAACATTCATACTGAAAAAATTCTTGCAGAAACGGGTATAGCTCCTTTAAGGTAGCGATCACAAAAAAAAGAAAAAAAATATATAAAAAAATAGGCAAAACAAGGGCAGAAATCTTTCCATAACTGTATTACTGTTTGTTCTTTTAACTGAAGTGGCATAGAGCTTCACAGCAAGAAGGTTCTGGGTTCGATTGCATCTACAAGCCTTTTTCTGTGGAGTTTCCACGTTCTCTCCATGTCTGCGTACATGTAGGTTTTCTCCGGGTGCTCCAGTTTCCCCTACCACTAAACACATGTACAATAGTCTCCCCGGCTCCACTCCATCCCCCTCTCACTGGGATCAAGACAAAAAAATGAAATTCTCTGTAATCTCAGACAGACTCTCCTCTAAGTAAATATGTAAAAGATTTGTTTAGGATAAAAATAGCCTGTATTGTATTGTATATTTGGTTGGGACAGTACATGTTCATGAACACATCACTCCGGATTGTAGCGTTGAGCTAATTTCCATCCGTTGTCCCACATTCGCACACACAAACACACACTCCTTCACCCTGAACTATTGCACATGTTTTTAGTGGTAGGGGAAACCGGAGTACCCGGAGGAAACCTACGCAGACACGGGGAGAACATGCAAACTCTACTCAGAAAGGCCCTGTTCCGACCGGGATTCGAACCCAGACCCTTCTTGCTGAGAGGCGAGAGTGCTATCTACTCAGCCACCGTGCCGCTTGATCTGCTCACAAAATGGTGAACAGCTTTAATGTAATTAGCTAATTGATTATCATATATGCACAGAGAATGACTTTGTCTCAGTTCTGAATCCCTGAGTTACCTGGATAAGGGTGGATCCCGTTGGTGTAGATGGGCTCAGACGTTGGCTGACCGTTGCTTTGTGGCGGAAGGGCACTGAATCCATTTACTCCTATTGGTGTGGCTATGCTAGGGACGGCAGTGGCACTGATGCCTGGAGGTGTGCTGGTGCCTGTAAACACAACATTAATACAATCATTCTTGCTCTTCATTAAGCTAAAGTTGGAGATTTTAGACTTCATTGATTTTGATTGATTTTAGGCTTATTTATTATGCTAAAGCTAGAAATGTTATACTTGCTTCAAATTATGCTTATGGTAGAGTGTATAGTATAGGGTTCATGTATCTTGTGTTGTGTGCTCCTCCTTCCTACTGTTCTGTAACTGTTGATGCAACACTGAAGTTCCCTCCTTGTGGTACGAATATAGGATATCTTAATCTTAATCATTGATGATCTTACAGTGCCTTGCGAAAGTATTCGGCCCCCTTGAACCTTTCAACATTTCGCCACATTTCAGGCTTCAAACATAAAGATATGAAAATTAATTTTTTTGTCAAGAATCAACAACAAGTGGGACACAATCGTGAAGTGGAACAAAATTTATTGGATAATTTAAACTTTTTTAACAAATAATAAACTGAAAAGTGGGGCGTGCAATATTATTCGGCCCCCTTGCGCTAATACTTTGTAGCGCCACCTTTTGCTGCAATTACAGCTGCAAGTCGGTTTTGCACATCGAGAGACTGGAATTCTTTCCCATTCTTCCTTGCAAAACAGCTCGAGCTCAGTGAGGTTGGATGGAGAGCGTTTGTGAACAGCAGTCTTCAGCTCTTTCCAAAGATTCTCGATTGGATTCAGGTCTGGACTTTGACTTGGCCATTCTAACACCTGGATACGTCTATTTGTGAACCATTCCATTGTAGATTTGGCTTTATGTTTTGGATCATTGTCCTGTTGGAAGATAAATCTCCGTCCCAGTCTCAGGTCTTTTGCAGACTCCAACAGGTTTTCTTCCAGAATGGTCCTGTATTTGGCTACATCCATCTTCCCATCAATTTTAGCCATCTTCCCTGTCCCTGCTGAAGAAAAGCAGGCCCAAAGCATGATGCTGCCACCACCATGTTTGACAGTGGGGATGGTGTGTTCAGGGTGATGAGCTGTGTTGCTTTTACGCCAAACATATCGTTTTGCATTGTGGCCAAAAAGTTCGATTTTGGTTTCGTCTGACCAGAGCACCTTCTTCCACATGTTTGGTGTGTCTCCCAGGTGGCTTGTGGCAAACTTTAAACAAGACTTTTTATGGATATCTTTGAGAAATGGCTTTCTTCTTGCCACTCTTCCATAAAGGCCAGATTTGTGCAGTGCACGACTGATTGCTGTCCTATGGACAGACTCTCCCACCTCAGCTGTAGTTATCTGCAGTTCATCCAGAGTGATCATGGGCCTCTTGGCTGCATCTCTGATCAGTCTTCTCCTTGTTTGAGATGAAAGTTTGGAGGGACGGCCGGGTCTTGGTAGATTTGCAGTGGTCTGATACTCCTTCCATTTCAATATAATTGCTTGCACGGTGCTCCTTGAGATGTTTAAAGCTTGGGAAATCTTTTTGTATCCAAATCCGGCTTTAAACTTCTCGGACCTGCCTGGTGTGTTCCTTTGTCTTCATGGTTCTCTCTGCGCTTTAAACAGAACCCTGAGACTATCAAAGAGCAGGTGCATTTATACGGAGACTTGATTACACACAGGTGCATTCTATTTATCATCATCAGTCTTTGAGGACAACATTGGATCATTCAAAGATCCTCACTGAACTTCTGGAGTGAGTTTGCTGCACTGAAAGTAAAGGAGCCGAATAATATTGCACGCTCCACTTTTCAGTTTTTTATTTGTTAAAAAAGTTTAAATTATCCAATACATTTTCTTCCACTTCACGATTGTGTCCCACTTGTTGTTGATTCATGACAAAAAATGTACATGTTATATCTTTATGTTTGAAGCCTGAAATGTGGCGAAATGTTGAAAGGTTCAAGGGGGCCGAATACTTTAGCAAAGCACTGTATCAAGACTATACTGAAAGCAGGATTTTGTGACGCCTACACCAATTGGCCTCCTACATTGTGCCATTGACATTAATACGTCAACATATGTCCAAGAATGAAAGAAGAGCTGGATCCTCTGACCACTGGGGAAATGCTGACTTGTTTACCGAAAATGTTTGGCAGAGTTCTTCTTATGGTGGTATGATCTATTGGTAAAGCAGTGATGTGTTTCCTATTTGACAAGAAGAAAATAGACACACAAAAAACATGTATAATAGGTCTGGCATTCGCCTCCTGTATGGTAACCCTGCTTCTATCTCTGCATGGAGTGAGAGAACAAATGGCCACAAAAAATATAAACCGCTCTGTAAAAGGCCTTCTCTAAATACAAAATTAAATGAAAGGTTCCAAACAAACTTGATTGTATCACACAGATATGCTGACCACACATTAAATACTTTCTTCAACTTAGTATCCCGTCCGATATTCCTTGCACAGTTGAATCTTTGCCTCTACCACTCCGTCCATCTTACATTTTACAGGCCTGACACTTAAGAGCTTTTAATGTTCATTCAGGACCATGACTTCAACTACAAACACAATATTTGTTAAGATAAAGTTAATTACTATTTATATAAGAAATTTTATTGTTATTTGTTGATTTTACAGGCGTTAATCCCAGTCTCTCACCTTGACAGTTTGGCCCTGCTTTATTATTTCTCTAATCCAGGTGAAGGGCATTTAACTCGGTTGGGATTATGCTTGAATGGAATTTGTAGGCCTTGTGGATTACAAATGCCATATACAGCATTGCAGACACTTTATTTAATACATCTGCAGTGACCCCAGCTTCAGGCAGCGACCTACTTAGTGTCGAGCCATCAAAGCTCCTCGCGACAAGAGCCAAAAAAGATAGTTCAGATTGAGGGCCAGGATTATCGCACACAAATCTTTGCTCTTATATTGTATAAGCAAAGGACTCAGCATCCAAAGTCAGTGAATTGGCCGTGTTCCCAGAAAATACATACTGTCATTCTGCCGCCGAGGGAAGGAGCGACAGATGAAGGCAGGAGGAGAGATAATGGCAGCCTGAGAATTACTGTAATGTGGCTGCCAACGTGTGACAGGGAATGTTTTACATGTTACTGTCAATGCTCCGGTTCCGCTCGCACCGGCTCCCTCTTCAGAACACTACTTGAAAATGCTACAAGGACACAAGGAGGTATTATTTCCGATTCTTTGGTTTGATATAGTTAGACATTCCAGTGCAAAACTTTTCTGGCTTGTTCATAGAAATATGTGCATTGACTACTTGTGCAAAACTTCAGAGCTGAGGAGGCTTCTTATAGACATTTCACTGGAACAAGCCTACAGCAGATGATATTTATGCATTTTTTTTATATTTTTATTTTTTTAAACCAAATAAGTTTCTAACTTGCCACTGGTTGTCCATATCATTGTAATTCAGTACAGATATATACAGTACGTGGGGATGAGTCAACAGGACCTATTGCCTGTTTTCTTGGCATCTGCGGCTGATTTAGTTCATGTTCTAGCCAAAAAAGTGTGGGCCCGTAAAAGGGGAAAGCGAGGAGGCCTGCTCGTGCGTCTTAGGAGGAGAGGAGCGCGCACGGCTCTCCCCGGCATTTTTCTCTCCAACGTACGCTCACTGGGCAATAAGATGGACGAACTCAGCCTGCTCATGAGAAGAAACAAGGACTTCGCCACATCCTGTGTCCTCTGCTTCACTGAGACCTGGCTAAATGAGCGGATCCCGGACTGCGCTCTGGAGCTGCAGGGCTTTGGGCTGTTTCGCGCGGATCGCCATTGTGCGCTCTCAGGGAAGAGCAGAGGCGGAGGGCTCTGTTTCTACGTCAATACAAACTGGTGTAACGATGTGACAGTGATCTCCAAGCACTGCTCTCCTGCTCTGGAATATCTTTTCATTCATTGTAAACCATATTACTCCCCGCGGGAAATTGTTTAATTCATTCTTGCCTCTGTTTACATACCGCCATGCGCGGACGCGCGCGAGGCTCAGCGCGCACTCGCAGAGCAAGTACTGTGTATGGAACGCTTATACCCGGACTCTCTGATTATTATCCTGGGGGATTTTAATAAGGGAAACTTGAGCCAGGAATTACCCAAATACAGACAGTTTATCAAATGCCCGACCAGAGAGGAGAACACTCTGGATCACTGTTACACCACCGTGCGCGGAGCTTTTCGCGCTGTTCCCAAGCCAGCCCTCGGCTTCTCAGATCACTCCATGATACATCTGGTTCCTGCTTACAGACAGAGACTAAAGCTCTCGAAACCTGCAGTGAGGAGCTCCAAAGTGTGGTCTGATGAAGCTGTGGAAGAGCTGCGCGCATGCATGGAATCTACAGACTGGGACCTTTTCAGAGCTGCCACAGACAGCTTGGATGAATATACGGACACTGTGACGTCATACATCCACTTCTGTGAGGATAGCATCATTCCAACAAGGACCAGGGTCATCTATAACAACGACAAACCCTGGTTCACTGCTAAACTCCGGCAGCTCAGGAAAGCAAAGGAGTCTGCTTTCAGGGAGGGGGACCGCAGCGGCTACAAAGCAGCTAAATATCAGTTCAGGAAAGAACTGAAAGCAGCCAAGTCCCGGCACAGAGAACGACTACAGGAGCAGTTTGGTAACAACGATACTGCTTCTGTCTGGAGGGGCCTACGGGAGATCACCAACTACAAACCCAAAGCCCCCCCCTGTGCTGATGACCACAAGCTAGCTGACGATCTGAACTTATTTTTCAGTCGCTTTGATGCTGCCCCTGACACCTCTCCCTCCCCCACCCCCCACTACTCTAACGACCCACCCAAGCCCTGCCCCAGCCTAACAATAGCCGCTAAAGAGATTAAACAACTCTTCCTGAGGCTGCACCCCCGCAAAGCTCCTGGCCCGGACCACGTGTCTCCGGCCACTCTGAGACACTGCGCCAGTGAGCTTACTCCTGTGTTCACGGACATTTTCAACTCCTCTCTGCAGTCCTGCCATGTCCCGGCCTGCTTCAAATCCTCCATCATTGTCCCCGTCCCGAAGAAGCCCAGGATCACAGGACTCAATGACTACAGACCTGTAGCACTTACGTCTGTCGTCATGAAGTCATTTGAACGCCTGGTTCTCTCCCATCTCAAGTCCCTCACCTCCCCCCTCCTGGACCCCCTGCAGTTCGCCTACAGAGCCAACAGATCTGTAGACGACGCCATTAACCTGGCCCTCCACCACATCCTACAGCACCTGGACTCCCCGGGGACCTACGCCAGGGTCCTGTTCGTGGACTTCAGCTCTGCCTTCAACACAATCCTGCCATCCCTGCTCCAGGACAAGCTCTCCCAGCTCAACGTGCCCGATTCCACCTGCAGGTGGATCACTGACTTCCTGACGGACAGGAAGCAGCGAGTGCGTCTGGGGAAGAATGTCTCGGACTCTCGGATTATAAATACAGGAGCCCCACAGGGCTGTGTTCTTTCTCCCCTGCTCTTCTCCCTGTACACCAACCACTGCACCTCCAGCCACGACTCCGTGAAGCTGATCAAGTTCGCGGACGACACCACCCTCATTGGACTCATCTCCAACAACGATGAGTCCGCCTACAGGAGGGAGGTGGACCGGCTGGTGTCCTGGTGCAGTGGTAACAACCTGGAGCTGAACGCCCAGAAGACAGTGGAGATGATTGTGGACTTCAGGAAGAGCACTGTCCCCCCGCCCCCACCCTCCGTGATGGACTCCCCCATCACCTCTGTGGAGTCCTTCCGTTTCCTGGGCACCACCATCACCCAGGACCTCAAGTGGGAGCCGACCATCAGCTCCCTCATCAAGAAGGCCCAGCAGAGGATGTACTTCCTGCGGCAGCTCAGGAAAGCCAAGCTGCCTGCACAGATGTTGGTGCAGTTCTACACGGCCATCATCGAGTCCATCCTCACCTCCTCCATCACCGTGTGGTTCGCTGGAGCCACAGTCAGGGACAAACAGAGACTACAGCGCATTGTGCGCTCTGCAGAGGAAGTGATCGGCCGCAGCCTTCCATCGCTGCAGGACCTGTACGTCGCCCGAGCTCGAGGCCGGGCTGGTCGTATCACAGCCGACCCCTCTCACCCTGCACATGGACTATTCCAACCACTCCCCTCAGGCAGGAGGCTGCGGTCCATCAGGACTAGAACCTCCCGCCACAAGAACAGTTTCTTCCCCTCTGCTGTTGGACTCTTGAACACTTCTTAACCTGTCCCCCCGCCCTTTATAAAGTCACTTTACTGCCCATCATACGTCACTTTACTTCACTGTACTGCTGTCACCTTACATTGTGTGCACCATGTGCACTTGTATATTGTAAATAGTAACTGTAACTCTATTTTAAATTTAAATTTATTCTTTAGAAGTGTTTTTTATTCTTATTTTTATTATCTCTTTTTGACTGTTGCACTGAGCCAAAGCAATTTCCAAGTCTGTGACCTCCCGTTACTTACGTTGGCAATAAAAATGATTCTGATTCTGATTCTGAGGATGCTATAAGGTTTCTCTTTTCTGACTTTGTTATGTCCACTTTACACACATGGGATTTCAAATATAAGTGAGCAGATTACTGTATCAAAGTACCCTTGTGATTGTCAACCATATGCTGTAGTTGGACAATGCAAAGCTTCAGCTCAAAAGGAACAGGGAGGTGCTCATCGTGTTACTGCAACTCACTTTAGCTATCATTTTCTTACTTAAAATGTAGGTTTATGTCTGTGTCACACTGAGGAATCTATGGTTTAGCGCTTTCTGTGATCCTATTTTTCGTAAATCTTTGTAAATGAAGTCAGGAGCCCTATAAATAGACCGATCAGATGCCCTTTGTTCCTAAATTCAGCTTTAGATTGCGTACCAGTGTTCCTAATAAGCTGTCATTGCTCAGTACGTCTTTAGGCTCCAGATTAAATGAAAAAAAAAATGAATTATGTCTTCTTTATTTTAAAAAATCAGGAAGCTGGTTGCATGGACCATCAACAGAGACAAGGGGGCCTTTACCTTGGCTCACACTTGGGACTCACTTATCCAGAGACCACAGCGTAATGGGAGACGCTGTGTTTTGACGAATCTGCTCAATCTGCCTAACTGCCCTTATCTGGTTACAACAGCTATAAGAGACACGTGTCACCTCTGACTAAGATGCTCAAGAATCCCACTCATTGAGCCTATTTGAGCGAGCTCTAATCGGCTTCTTCCGCATTAAGAAATATTTGTTCAGCACTCGGATACGCCACTCCTTCTGCAGTATATGTTGTTTACTACCCTATGTACAGTAGTGAGGATATTGTTATCTGATCAATAAGGAACAAAGAGGTTCCAGAATTGTGTGTTTTATTGCATGTCCACCTTGAAATTTCAGAACATTAACACATCCATCTTAATCCCTGTTGTTTACATATGGTTTTGGAGTTATTGCGCTGGGAAACCAGTTTGCGCACCTGAGGAGGGAGTCATGGGAGTTGCCACCAGCCCGTTGACATTGAAAGCTGCCATTTGCTGCATTTGCGCTGCTGCGATGGCTGCCATGGGGTTCAGGTACGAGCCTTGTGTGGCTGCCATCAGGGCGGCTTGCTGTTGCATCATCTGCTGTAGGATTAAAGAGCGGCAGGGAGAGTGGGTATGGGTGGGGAGGAATGGAGGGTTTAGGGAAAGGTAGAGAAAGAAGTGGAAGGTGAAATAGCCTCAATACCAAAGCAAGTTTGCTCTTGTGTGTCTGTTTGCCTGGCCACTACCTAATTCTTGATGTTGCCCTAGAGCAGTGCACTCCCATCTCTCTGATAACAAAAGTATTGAGCTCATTATGCTACTGCAAGATAAACTTAATGTGAAGTGAGTTTGGGAAGCCAGAAAAGATTGTTTAAATCCAGGTGCATGTGTATAGGGGGCTGGAAGCAGAGTTTGTGCAGTGATTGTGCATGAGTGGGCGATTCTCACCTGTCAGAGTGAGTTGTTAGCTACAGTGTGAGTGCAAAATCTCAGCAACTCCTAATTCAGGCTGTGACTTTCATGTGTGAATATAACATGGGGGATGGGAGTGTGAGTGTATAAGAGAAAAAGGGAAAAGAAAATATGAAGCAAGCATGCTTCCACAGAGGTCTTTCTCTTACGGCGTTTGTAACCTATAGAAAGAATAATGGTTACACAAGCAGGCACATATTTAAATTAACAAAGTCCACTCAGTTATTAGCAACACTTCAAACATAACAATTATTTGTATTAAGCAGTAGAGGCAAATGATAAACAGTAATACATTGTACAATAATGCTATGTAAATTGAGATTAGAGCAAGCATTTAATGGTGCAATTTACACAGGGGGCGCCTCGTACCTAGTGGGAGAGAGTGAGTTCAAAGCTTAATCACAACAGTTTGTGGTTTCTTTTTTAAAGCTCACCGTCTCCTCCCCCGCCGGGCTGAGACTTACAGCGTGAGAGTAGGCGCCATAGGCCCCAAACTGAATGGTCATGGGACTGAAGATGCCGAGCTGGCCAGCCATCTGGTGCATCCTGCGCAGGGTCCTCTCCTTATCAGTGTCTGCAAACTTAACTACTAGACTGGAAGAGGCACCCTGCAAGAACACAAAAACAAAACTAATCAATCGCTTAAAACCTGAATAATATACTAAAGCTCTATATCAATATCCATGTATATCTACAGGAGAAGTTATTAGCAAGTGAGACTAAAGTTTTTAGTCAACAAAAAGATGTTTTTTCATGTATTTCTTCTAGAGATAATTGTCAGATTACTATAATTGGAGACAGTATGTGCTTTATTGATTTCTGGCAGATATTTGCTTTGTTGAACTATAGCACACTGAATGCACTGTGATCCTCAGCAGGTCCCAGGAGCCTCAGTCCCTTCCTGATGAAGCTTCACTGACTCTAGTCCTGGGTAATTAGGTCTGACAAAAGCTTTTGGCATGTGCAGAGCAAACTATTGACTAATGGCTTCGCCTTATGGCAGATATACTTCTGTATCGATGCCTGGCTCCTCTGTTTGCATCCAATTAAGTCATTTGAGACAAAGAACAGACTCAGTTCCTCATGTGACACCGGACAGAGAAATGGTCAGACGAGAGGATGAGGATGCTGCCAGGCAGAGAATGCAGCCATAGATACTGTCAAGAGGACCAGCCTTCTATTTAATTACAGGCAGTGCATGCTGGGAAAGAGCACCAAGCAACACCAGGACAGAAGGACGCAAGCCGCCAAGGGGCAGTCTGGACACGATTAGTAAGATCATAAATGCAAAGACACAGGGAGAAAAACACTCCATAATCTCAACATGAAACATGGCTTCATAAAACGTCTCATCCAGACAGAGATAGGACAAACTCACACTTTGATTAAAAGCAAAACTACCATTTTGTTTGTAAGGGCCCATTACCTGATGCCTAATCTTAAAATAATCCAAATCCAATTGATGTATATCTAACAGTCTAATCTTATTTCTCACACATTTCTCTCAACCAACACTATTATCACTCATACTTTTTTTATAATGCAGAAAATGTTTCAAAAGTCTAAACCAATATTTCAGTTTTGACTCCCGTCTTTCAGATGCATCACTCCTGGACAAAGGAGGATTATTAGAACACTGCATCCAGTGCCTCTGACACTAAAATACTGCATAATTTTACTTCCAAGAAATGCATTTGGTAAAAATGAGCACAGGGTCTTTTTAAGAGCAGTAAAACATTTCAAGAGTGAAGTCGTGTTGAAAGTTGTCTGCTTGCTTCCTGGATATATTTACCATCACTATTCACTGGCGAAGGAGATTGAGAGTGGATGATGAAAGATACATTTTACAAATGAGAGCCAGTTCAAATGGATGTGTGAAGACTTCGGACAGCGCACCTCCGCTGGAACACTATCTGAGTCAGGCAGCTCTGCTCCTGGCCGGGAGGAGGTCCCTTGATACCATTTCAATTAGTTAAATCAATACTCTGACGTGGCAGTGTTAATGGCACACTTTTCCATTCTAATTTCATTTCCTTCCACTAGCTGACCTTTTACACCACTTTCTCAACTCCATGGACCAGTTTGAAGGGACTACGCAGGTGGATTTAATGAGAATAGTCGCGAACAAACATCCCTTCTACCAGCAGCGTATCACCGGGGCCTGCCTGCAGCACTGCTTGGCATTTAGATCACTTCCATTTTCTGCTTTGTGTATCTGGTGTATTCTCATGTTCATTTAATACCTCATGCAGAATGTGAGCATCCGCTGCGTGAACAGAGAGCCGCGGGGGTAGTCGGTGCTCTGTGACTCGGGGTGTAGTCTGGCCTGGTCTGGCTTCTGCTCCTTTCGCTCTACGGCAGAGTGCTTTTGTGGCAGCGGAATGGAGGCAAGCTACAATGTCTTTTCTGAGCGGCTTTGGCAGCTGCACTGAAGCACTATCACAGCCTCTGCAGGTGTTGACAACATGGCATGTCTCGTCAGGGTCTAAGCATTCTGACTTTAAGGGCCCAAATGTTGTGGCTGAGATGAAGTGCGTTCTTATCATTGGGAGAAAAACACTGAAAACAAGGAGTGTATAACTCAATGAGAGACTGTTAAGCAATGGGGTGTGCACGTTTAATCTTATCTCAAGTCCAGCCCCTTTTTGTGGAAAAAAGAGACATAAGAAAATGAGTGGGGCCCCTGGGCTGCATACAGTAATAATGTACATTACTAAACATTATTGCTTCTGGTAAATTACATCTCAATGTATAGTCTGCCCACAGCAGAAATTAAAGACCTGCGGAGCCTCTCTGGCTAAGGTGGGTTAGTCTGTCACTGAAGCTGCTCTCCATAGGTAAAATAAGATATAATTTATGCTGGTTTCATTTAAGAAATGTTATTTTAACACAGCCTTAAAACAGTTAATTATTATTTTGTTCAAAATCATATTTTGTTATTGCAGTTTTAGCTGTTGGCTAAATACTATGATGAAAAATTACCCTTTTCCGGGGTGTGCACTAGTTATTGAACTGTATCAAACCAATATGCAAAACTGTCCATCCAAAGAGACAAACCATTTGCTTTGACAACACTAGACCAAAATAACAAATGGAATGACAGCTCTTCATGGTTGAGCCATCCCACATGAAACAATATTATGTGGACACTTAATTAAGAAACAGGTGCCATCAGACTATGGGCAGTGGATGCAAATGCAGCCACTCCTCACTGCGAGTTGAAAATCACAAGCTGACAAACAAACACAATAATAACCCGAGCCGGCATGGGTCCTACACCTGGAGAGAAAATGAATTTGCTGAATTTGATAAAGGCCAACAGGGAGCCTTCACTTTTGACAGGTACAACTAAGGAATTTGTCATGGGTTCAAAAACTAATCTAATTCCCCCAACAACACACTTGACTTGTGAAAATCTCTTGAATTGGATTTTCGCATAGGCCTACAGAAAGTATAGGAAGGGAAATACCAATAGTAATAGAGGGATTAGGAAAGTACAGCAGTGAAATTGCAATGCGCCGGATTCAAAAGTGTAGTCAATGCTCCCAACACAGTGACCGCTATAATAAAAATAGCTTTAAAGCGATACTTAGCCTAGTTTAAACACCTACTTTAGTCCCCACAGTGGCCAGTCAGCACACTCCCAAATTAAACCAAAAACAGCCTGGGTCACTGTGACTTACTTACCCCTAGAATGAAAAGAGAGCTATATACAAAGAGATCTGACTATAAGTGAACCTCTCCAGAATTACTTTATATTAAATTCCTCTCGATTAAAATCAATAGAATAGAGAACATACCAAAAGTCAAGATGAAACTAATAATAATCTCAGTAGTTCAGCTCGCAGTTCAATATCAGTGATGGGGAAATACAAACAATTATTATTTGAACAATAAAATATATTTATTTTGGATACGTGCAATGGTATCAGTGCTTGGATAGAATAGTGAGCTTTGTTGCCTTGTTATCTCCAGTTGAACTCGGCCCAGATTTCCATGGCATGACACTGAACATGACACCGCCCCTGCGCTTCTCCTAGCCATCTGAACCCATGCCACCTGACACCCATACAACATCTGAACCAGTTAGCCCGACTCCCCATGTCCAATCTGCCTTTAAAGTCAATTTTGGAAGCACCTGGAAACCACAATAAACATCAATTAAAGCCATGACCGCATATATCAGTGCGTGCCCTTTAGTGGCATCCATCGCCCTTAAACTTCATTACAGCCTTTCATTTGAGGCCAGCGTATTTTGCTGTAGGTATTAATGATGGCGAGAGTACGGGTGCCAGGTAACACAGATGCTGGGGAGAGAACATTAGGGAAGCGTAGAGACAGCCACTTCTTTGTTCAAGGTTCATCCAGTGCCACAGCTGGCCGTGGGCAGAGGAGGAGCAGCCGAATCACGCCTCCTGTTATCTGTTGTTGACGACATGTGGCACCGATATTATCCAAATTAACTGTGTAGCTCATCGGTATACCGCAGACTTAGCCCGGTGCTAATGGCCACCTTGCCAATTAATCTGAAAGGCAGTTAGGTTTTGGACGCTGCGGATAACAGGTGCAGAGATGGAAGAGATATTTATACAATCATTAACTTAGATCATTTAAACTGCCTCAGATGGATTGGTCCCATCTCCTTGTAAAACAATCATTGCATTATTAAAGTGTTTATTTTGTGTGCGTTTAAAAAGTTCACATGTTTTATTGCACCGTTTGCATGTGTTTACGCATTGCATGTATGTGAGTGTCTGTATGCTGTATACTGTTAGGAAAGGTGTGGAGAAAAGCCGTTTTAAGATGCTCAGGCCTTTATAACTGCTTGAGTTTCTGTGATTTTCATTGTACTGAAATGCGGGAAAAAGATTGCTATGAAATATTTGATGGGAGTTATGCTAACCAAGTGAACATAGCCGTAATTCAAGTTTTGTGCCTGAAAAGTTTGGCTTCACAGTACACACAGTTGAAATGACTCTGCCAGTTTATCAGGCTCGATACTTCAATGTAATGCAAAATGAGACGGCATCAAAAAGATGTGTAAATTACATCTGGCTTCCAGCACACTCTCTGACTGCCAGGAAGCATCCGTAAATATTTATTGCGGAACATCAGTGGAGTGTGTGAAGGTATGGGAGCCTGCCAGCAAAAGTGAGTGCCTGTATGCGAGTCCAGCTGTGCAGTATTCAATACGATGCTCAGCCTGTATAATGTCTCATAATTCATAATTTCTTTACTTAGTGTTCATTGTTTTTAGAAGAAAAAGGAGATTGCAATTAGTGAAAAGGATCTGGATAATAGTTCCAGATGTAAGAGGCTGACTCACAAACTTGACTATAATAAAGTGGACAAATGCATTAGAAAGTCCCAATAGACTTTTGTGTACACACAAATAGACATTTACATCAACAAACCAAAACAGAAGTGCCAAGGTCCCCCCTGAGTGAACAGGAACGCCAATCATCTCTGCCTATTTAAAGTCAGAGACTGTTTCATAATATATGAAGATAAATAGCTGCATCTCAACCCTTTTACTTTTACAGTAAGAGGAAATGGAGAGAAGCCAAGTGTGAGCGAACACAGACAGAATTTCAGATGTCAGCCAAATGCACTCTTCTTATCACCCTTCAACATTATGGAGGGCGTCAGCATCCTCCTCTACATGCATTTGTAATGTATATGCAGTAGTATTTGAAATGAGTGAATAATTAGCCCTAAGTGCTAAAAACCAAAACCCATCAGTGGCATGTATGCGCAAATTGAAATATTATTGGAAGACGATTCAGTTCCTCACCCACTACTTTCTTAGGTGAAGTTTTTATCTTTTAACTCTTTTTCTTTCTGCACTTGTTATGACAAAACAATTCACCCTCATTTATCTAAAACATTGCAATATATTCATTATCCTCAAATTTTGTCTGCATTCAAATCTGCTGAGGTCGGTCACTGGCCTTTTCTTTTCTGATGGCGAAAAATTGCTTCACCCAAAGATAATGGAAAATCATGTACCTAGCATTTTTCCAATTTTAAGTTCAAAAGTTTATTGCAACAATTTTATGCTATTGCTGTGAACACGGCCGAGACCTTCTTTTAAAAATGTAGCAACTAATTTCACACTAATTTCCAACTGCACCACTGGGTTAATAGAACTGCTCTCTCTGTAAAAAATATGTATGTTTTGTAGCATATGTTTTTTTGAAAAACCTGTACACTCTGCTAAAAATATAGTTACATTTTCCTCTTACTATAGAAATTCTGAACCGTCCTTCGCCAGTTCGTATTACCAGAGTACTCGAACAATGTCTAGGAAGGGCATGTTTAAAGATTCATGCACTGTGCAAGTAATCACATCTTGATAGGGAAGTGAATGTAAACACAATATCTCCTGCTGGAAAGAGTTGCATGGATGTATATACATATGGAGTCTAAAATAGAGGGAATAGAGTATGGCCAACAGTGTGAATGTTGTCAATGCTGGCTACTTTGAATCATGTGGTAAATCTTATAAAGCAAACTGAAAGTGAGGGCTAGGAAGGTGGACTTAATATATTTTCATGTTTGAGCCACTATTCTAAATAGAAAAAGGATGTAGGTAAATTGTGTTGTATATAACTTTGGATTTTCTATAAAAACGGTATAATTTTTAACTATTATTACACATAAACAAGTAGTAATTTGCAAGGAAGCAACATTCTGACTTTTTCATGTCTGACACCAATCTCGACATTTTGGCTATCGGTAGCTGCTGATTACTCCATATGAATAGATTCCAGTGTAATTATTGAAAATGGCAATAATTTTTCCTAAACTCACTGATCATTTGGTACATAATGGTTTGTGTTGCTAAACGCTTGTTGGCTTCTCTACTCACTCATGGTCCTTAGCTTACAAAGGCATGTTAGTAATTGTAGAGATTCTCTTGCCACCTCAGCCTCCACTGATTCCCAGTATTGGCAATTAAAACACCATAGACTCCAATTTAGTAGCCTTAAAACCATAGACAAACTAGTGCTAGCTTCAGTCAACTGGCGCTTGAAAAACAGAATACATTTCCTCTGCATTTGAAACAAGAAAACACTTCAAAGTCGGTGAAAGTAATCAGTCATCCAAAAATCACAAGTTTCACACTCACTCCATTACACTGGATGAACCTCGACTGGGTGGGTGGGAACGACGACTGAGTGGGTGGGGCAAGAAGTCCATATTTGGTCTTCCTGCAACTGCCTTTATTTTTATCATTTTAATATTTAACCGTTATTTATCTTGCAAGTAACTACAGAACAAACATGAATTGGGTTATTATAATCTATAGATGCTCATCAGTGCAACTCTGGATTTTATTTGATATTCTAAATCATTTTAGAGTTAGAATAATTTCGAAAGTTATAGTATGTTTGAGACGGGAGCCACCTCTAATATAAGCTATTTATACTAATCAACTAAGTGCCTGAATACTTATGTATTGATGCTAGAGTTTTATTTTAATTAGTATAGCTATTGTTCACTTAACTTGTGCCGTGTGCTCCTCTTTCCTACTGTCCTATACAGTAACTTGTGATACATCACTGAAATTTCCCCACTGTGGGACGGATAAAGGATCTCTTAAAGGAATAGGCCTCCGTAATAATACGAGGAGCACTACGCCGCGCACTAACTCCTAAAGACTTCTCTCCAACTCACGCTGCTTCTATTGACGGAAGTGAGCGGGAGAGAAGTCTTTAGGAGTTAGTGCGCGGAGGTAGCAATCCTCGTAATATTACGCCTCACAATATAGTACCTCTTTTTATCCGCTAAGAAAATCGACATGTTACATTTCTGTGTCACTATACTTTGTAGAGTAACACGTCACGTAACTGTATTTAAATAGAGAACACGTGGAAGAGTTTGGTAGCTTCTAACGGCAGCTGATTTGGTACTATACAGTATGTAGAAGAGGCTGCGTTTGTGCTCCGTTTGCATGACAGAGCGCACGGACAAAGACCAGACAGGTACTTATCAACTAGTCTAAGGTAAGGTAAGAACATATGTCTGTATGTAAAAACGGTGGACTATTCCTTTAATCTTAATCTATTTTTGGATGTGTTCAACCGACATTGATTAGCAGAAGCTTCCTGTCTCCATAATTCAAAATGTCAAAGTTTCAAAGAACCAATCAGAATATTGTCTTTACTGATTACCAATACACACTACAACATAATGTCCTGGATCTGCACCAATATTCAATACCAGTGATGGTGTTTTTGTGCATCCCTTAACTATGAAAGTAGTATACAGTCCAAGAGTTTAGGCATAGCATTCCATTATTTTTTATTATTGTAAGTATTGTAATGTTTGTTCTCTACTCACCGGCATCGTCTGTCCACCGTGTAAGCTGTTGATGGCTGCCTGGGCCTCTGCGTGGCTAGAAAACTTGACAAAGGCACAGCCTGTATGGGGCAAAATAGAAACACACAATGAGTGAGATGGCCTTGCATATGGAAACACCACCATTCATTAGCATTGTTTCTGCTTCCTAAATAGATTCTGCCATTAATTTGTTGTTGCTGAATGGCGAATAAATTAGTTTATCAATTGTCGTTGGGGACAACAGCTCTGCCGAATATCCTGTCCGCTCCCTATTTCTTATTCCACTTTTGTGAATAGAGGCAAGGCGTTTACTAGCCTGACTTGTTTGTGATCATCAGTCTGTTTAATATTTACACATTGTGATTTGTGTGCAGTCACTCAGAAAAGAGATTATGATGACAAGGCATAGTATTATAATCTGTCCATCTAACCGGATCTCTGCTTGTGTATAATTTCAGACTGGAGGGAGAGGCTTTTTGCTCAAGGGGTATTCAAATGATCTCAAATCTGTTGTGTGGAGTTTATGCAAGCTGGAAAGTCAACATAAAAGTTGGCCCATAGACAAAAGAGCAGCCAGTGGTGACAGCTTTCTGGAGCCAAATTGTATTAACATTTCATGTAGAAAATATATTATTAAAAACATTCAGATAACAAAAGCTCACAAGCCCTAATTTTGAGTGAGTGTGTGTCAATGGTCAAGTCAGGGCGACCCATAAACTACATTTAAACAACATAAAGAATAAGCCTCAGGACTGATATATACCGACTCAGTAAAATCTGGTAGATTTCCAAAAGCTATTAAATTAAAGAGAGGCGATTTCTCTAAGTTTTATGATGGTACTAGAGTGGAAGAGCCGTTCTGTTATGTCCTATTCTTATCCTTGCCTTCAGGTACCTGGTGTGTTAAATCAAAAGATAGACCTACAGTAATTAACAAACCTGCACACTAATTCCATCACCTTCTCATTAATCAAGACAGGATAGTCTCTGAACCAGGCAGCTTCTCCAAACTTCAGTTCCATCGGCTGACTATGTCCTCATATATTTTTTTTATTTTTGATATTGTTATTGTAATCCACTGTGTGCTCTCTTTGGAACAGTGAACATCCGCCATGATATGTGGAGGCAAGAAAGTCCTCAAGGCTCATATTTACCTACGTTGTGTATTATGACCATTTCTTTGTCAAATCCAAAAGTCTTAAAATGAAGAGTAAAGCAAAATGTGTACAATCTTCCTAAAACACATTTTCTCCGAACAATTCTAAGGTGGAAAATATCTCAGAAATTAAAAAATAGTAAAGGTCAAGTCCTTTGTTCATGCTCTTAAAGATAAAAGTCAACTCTTCAGAAGGAAATTTAAAATGTATATATATATATATTTAATCTGATACGGAATTGTGTTGCCTTTTGTTTTAACCACAGTCACAAAAGGTCCTCTGCGACAATTGCCCTCTGACTGCAAATGTGACTGTGTGAGAACAAACATATTTAACCTTTGTAGTTGAATGTAATAGGATGGCACTTTCATTTTGTGAAACCTTTTTAGTTTCTAATAAGAGCTAACTGCGTTCAGCAAACCAGCTGATATTGTGCCAGGATCCCGCTGACCCCAGTCCTATCACACAAAAAAAAAGCTTGGCGCAAATGAACTGTGTCAAAGTCACAGCAAACATACAAGGTTCTCACAGTTATTTTGCAGAATCAAAGAGTAAAAATGTGATAAAAGAAATTCTGTGACACTAAAAGGACACTGGGAAGAGAGAGAACAACATATCCAAAGATTCCAGCAGAGTGCTACGGACTCATAAATTATAGTGAACATTTAGGTTTTGAAATTTGATGGCTCAGAATGAGAGGAGGAGGGAAAGAAAAGGGAGAAATTGTATTGCTTTCAAGCAAAGGGGATCTGCTCTGCCTTTTGAATTCCTGGGGTATAATATGTATGCATGAATTCCATCCCGCTGGTTGGGTGACATTTATAACACAACTTAATTATAGACCTAAAAGCCATCTTTCTATTATTCCTGACAATTCCAAGCTCTATTCAACTCTGGCAGCAAGTGTTGCACTTTGAAAGTACTTTGAGGAGCAGCGCAAAGAGATGGATGTTAAACTTCTCTGCCTTTTTACTGGTGGAGAGGGCCACTGAAAAGCCTCTGAGTCGCATACATTTACATCAACAGGGGACAAAGCCTCCATCATGGAACAGATAGCACTGTCATTTCAAGGTCTGTCTCATTCAAATTACACAAACCCCATCCCAAGTGGGGGATCTGGCAAAATAATTTGCCGTAACATCCTGTAATGATTGCATGGGACTGCTAAAAAGTCGGTACAATTAAATACCAGTTGAGCTTTGTACCATTTGACTCGTGAACTTGGAATACTCTGGAGTTTTAAACAATAAAAGTTTGAGAGTGGGGTGATGATCATATTGATTCAAACACAAATAGTAATAGCACACAGGCGACAGTGAAAAGACAATAGTTGATGAGTGTGAAGGAAGGCGCAGGTGACACAGAGGCACAGTCGGAATGAGGGAGAAAACTCGCTCCTGCAGCAAGCCCTTTTCATTTTATGGCCTGTCAATCAACTCTAAACATCTGAGGTTCGAAGAGAGAGAGGGTTGAGGGAACAGTCACGAAAAGTGTAAAGAGGAGCCAAAGAGAAGCAGAAGATTCGTGACGAGAGGTTACAGGGAGTACAATTACGTTAATTAATACTACAAAGTAAAGCTGAGGTACCTAACATATATTATAATTTTGTCTAAATATCTTTTGTAAAAGTGAAATGACCACAACATGCTGTCTTCATCTCATTTGAAAATATGTTACCTTTTGCGTACCTGTGAGAAACAGCCCTGTGAGTCATAAATTGATTCTTTCGGCTGAGAGCCGATGAGTGAGGGAGGACGGTCCTCTCTTTGCACTTTTATGCGAGAACTACTGCTAGAACCTAACTGATTTAGAGCCAGGAACTATATGGATTTTAGTACAGTTGGATGTTTTGAGGTTTTAAATGTAGGTACCCCAGCTTTAATTACATACAAAAACTATGGCTTTCATTTCTGATGAATAAGTGTGTAAGTGTCATACTTTTTATTATATTGCTGAAAATAAAATTGCATTCCTTTTGTCTCGAAATAATGGGTCACCCATTGTCCCCTGATAACTTTAGATCAATTTGTGCTATAGGTTTTCTATGTGTTCCAACAGAAAAGGTTGCAGCATCAAATATTTAGACGTTAGTGTGCCCTTCCATAGCCCTTTTAATGGAAAACTTTTACCAATCTTGCGTTCAAATACTGCTGTTCACATGGGCTGGATCCCACTTGCTACAGCTAAAATGGCACAATCTTCAGAAATACTCTATGCATTTTATATCAACTCTGCTCCACACTGAGCAGGAAAGGTCTTCCGTGTGAACAAGTGCACAGTTCAGTTGTACTGTATGTTTTAGTCGGATTTATATAACTTTCGGATTAGGCGTGAGGTTCTCAAACTTTTCAGTTAGTTGCCGTCAAAATATTAACAAAATACATGTGTGCCTACCAGTGCTTGTAACATAAAAATTTGAATTAATTGTTGTGTAGTTTATTGGTGTCTATTGTTGTGTTGTTTATTGGTGTCTAGTGTTTTTCCAGTTAATGTGTCAAATATCTACAAGTATATGATCTTTTGCCGAGTGGCCAGCTGTAGCCAGAGATGTAACTCACAAAATAATTGAATTAAACAATACTACTCTATTTGGCAACTTCCTTATTGTGTGTGCGTGGCAGAGATGCACTTTGAGTTTGTATGAGCACTGATTTCCCCCCTGGAAAAGACAAATAAATGTATACTTTTCTTAGTAAAAAATGTATTCTCTTACTTTCCACTTCTGTTGGTTTTCTTGATAAATAAGGCGTCTTCTTAATTGCAATATAGATAGCTGTGAAATCCGACATTGTTGTAACTACAGTAATCCTATGCTTTAGACATGTCAGCAAATGCGGTGAGATTCGCGGCACCAAAGTGAGTGACAGAAACATAACCCGCAGCTTGGCAGCTTTATTTACAGTAGGACATTATCGTCCAATGGTGTCTCCAGGGAGGGATGATGGGAATGTGGGAAACAAACATGATTACACTCCTCCACTTTGCTGATAACAGGAAGAGTGTGAGGGGGGCTGAGGAACGACAAGGTGTTTGTGATGTATTTGTTGAGTACGAGCCCAGGGTGGAGAGTGGAGCCAGTAATGAAGAGACAACAGAAGCGGATGGAGGTGAAAAATGAGGCACAGGAAGCAAACTTGGGAAGAAGAAAATAGAGGGAGAATGCAAAAGTAGTGAGGAATGACACTCTGGATGGTGTGGAAGTTTCCCATCTAACGGAAACAACAAAAACACCTAAACTTGATGCAGAATGGTTGTTCGTTCTCTTGTGAGATCTATAAAATGAATGCGATTAAAGCCGGGGTATGAAAAAAACTAACTAGCTCCGGGTTTTCAATCAGTTTGGTTCTATAGTTTCAACATGCATGTATATTTTACATTATGCCATATCTATAAATTAGCTTTTAATGACAGGAAAATTGGACGAGACAAGTATTTCTCACAAGTATGCACAATAAAAATGCTTTTGTAATCACAACATATAAAGATAGATAGAGCTACATTGATAAATTGATATTGAAGCATTGAAACATAGCAGCTACTTTTATTGTATATTGTGTGTGCTCCCAGTGTGCTCTTACTACTCTCCTGTATGTGCGCTGCAACACTGAAATTTCTCCAGTGTGGAACGAATAAAGCAGGGGTCTCCAATCTTTTTCAATCAGAGAGCGACTTTTATACAAGAGAAGACGCAGAGAGCTACTGTTTTTTGCTGACAAGAGTAAAAATGGTGTAATAATTGCAAAAAAAACATGGAGAACACATGTAAAATATATCATAATACTTTATAATTAGTGTTGTCCAACGATTAAAATATTTAATCGCAATTAATCGCATGAATTTCATAGTTAACTCGCGATTAATCGCAAATTAGTCACACATTTGCGTGCTGTGTGCAATTGCTTTTTTTATTGAAAACAATGTGTAGTGTTATATTACACACTAACATTTGATGCAAAATCATCAATAAATGGATGACAAAATAAATAATTGGTAACAAAAAGCCCCTTCAATGTGTGTGTGTGGGTGTGTGTGTGTATGTGTGGGTATAGACCATAGACTGTATAGAAACATCATGGTGTCATTATGATGATGATAAACAATCTGTAAATATTTTGTAAATTTGTTCATGTAAATACTCTATGCTGTTTCTCTGTTTACCTTTGGTATATCTATGACTGTATACTGTTTGCTTGTATTGCCTTTTTTATTAACCCCTCCCCCCATCTCCCACTTCATGCCCTTATACTTACAATAGACATGTAACAACTCAAAATGGATTCATTCAAGATCATGTGTTCAATTCTAAATCCTTTGGGGAGCTACCTGAAAGGGGTTAGCGAGCTACTGGTAGCTCCTGAGACACAGGTTGGAGAGCCCTAGAATAAAGCATTTCTTATCTTAAAGGCAGGATGTGGTGGTCTGAGTTGATCAAAATAATTTACCTTTTTTCACACAAAATCTATTATTATGAGAAGGTTCGGTGCCCGAGCTTTAAAAGAAAAACAGTGACAAGGGTGGAGTGGACAGGGAGGTGACGAGGGGTTGGCTTGAAGTTTATATTATCCATCTAACTACGCCTCTCTTCCTTCTACCAAATATTCAACTGCTAATTCATAAATTATTGAATTGTGTGGTAATTATAGGACAAAAGAGCCAAAATAATTGTTTGAAATCCATGATTTGTAAAACATTTTGTTTTGTCGCCATTTCCATTGGAGTTTGTATTGGTTCTTTGGATGAATAGTATTTTGAATCTTAGTGAATGTGGTTGGTCAGTTTTTTTAGGAAATGGGATAATAGTGGTTATGATTCTTAATTTTCTGTTTTTGCAATGTATTTTGTTATGTTTTTATACAGCTTCTTTTTGCCTTTCCCTGCCTCTCACCCGAACTCCAAAACTGTGTGGGGTTCTAGGGTGCTAGTATCCCAAAAACAGAGGAGAGGAAGAGAGAGACTCTAGACGGACAGCAGACTGGAGAAAGGGACATAATTGAAACTTGTCTTTGATCAATTTCAAATTAAATCCATTATTTTTGTACAGCCCAAAATCACAGCCGCAGTCATCTCGAAGGACTTAGCTAAATTATTGATTTGCCAATAACAGATAAGCCCAGTGTGTGTATTGGGAGGACATGGAGAACATAGTGGACACTTCTCTATGTAAAATTGAGACCTTTCTAAGATACCTGAATGTGTTTGGGTGTATTGGTTGCGTTCATGTGACATCACAACATTCCAAAGAGGCGACAATATTTGAAAACATAATGCATGGACAATGCTGTAGGTCAGAAGATCAAAAGGTTGCGTTCATGGTGTCAAATTCTGTTTCAGGTGGTGGGCAGGTGCCAATGGGAAAGTATTGAAGGAGATTAATATTTTTAAAGTGATTAGATAAAAAAATTATTGTATTATTCTGACGTCTAAAAGTCCTTTCTCCTGGCCAACATCATGCATATGTTTTTTTCCATACCGTCACCACTTCTAGACTTCTATATGGGAAAAAGGCCATAGTTGATAGAGATCTGGAACTTTGTGGATTGGCCCAGGCATTACAGAGAACATACAAGAACATTAAAATCCGATTTACCGTAGCAAAGATTATCCAACTTGCCTCCCCCACAAATTTAAAATTTATCTCTTGCTCTTTGGAATATTGTGATGTCACATGAACGCAACTTATTGTGAGGACGCAGAAGACACAGTGGACACTTCTCTGTGATGGGTGTGTGTGGTGGACGGCTCTGACCCTTACTGGCCCCATCAGGCCCTCGTAGCACGGTGCACTCCTCGATCTGGCCAAAGGTCTCGAAAAGGCGTCGCACGTCATCCTCACTCTGCTGTTTGCCCAGCATTCCCACAAAGAGCTTCCTGTCTTCTGGATGGAGACAGAGAGAGGGAGAAGGGTGTAAGGAAAGGAGACAACAGACTCTATAGTTGTGCTGAGCGAAGGAGCGAGAGTGCACCTGAAGCCCCACTTTTATCAGCAGTCGGCTGTGTTAGCACTGCTACCGCTGTTGTTGTTGTTATTGATCTTACAGTGGTGCGGCGTGCCACCCCCATCTCAGTCCTGGCGTAAAGGCAGATATATTTGTGTTTCCAGCGAGCTATTCAAGTCAGCCAGCGAGATGTTTGATAGTGGTGATGTTGTGTTCGCTGTGGTTTAAGGTTTGAGGTATAGAAAAGAGAATGTTTTGCTCAGGTAGGCGTATAGTTCAGATCTGTGAATGTTTTATTCAGTTTCAGAATAAATAGATGTTACATTGCATCTTTCATCAAAGGTTGACATGTAAACTTGGTGTCAGAGGTGTGGGGCATTGATTTGTAGAAGAGTGAAGTATTCTTTTGTCAATGTTTGAAGTTTTTGTATTTATTAAGATTCTTTCAAATTGACACTGACAATGTAGATTTCAAGTTTTACTCAAGATACAAACTATGTTAACCCTTTAAACCCTTAAACCCTTTTCCATCCTTTACATGCAGAACTTTGTATCCGCCAGCTGATGCATAACGTTTCTAATGTCCAAGAACACACAGAACAGCCTGATTATGTCCATTTCTTATTTCTTTCTTTTACTCTCATAATTTGTTTGCACCAAGAGCCAAGGCAAATTCCTCTATATTGCTTACAATGGCAATACAAGGATTCTGATTCCATTTTTTACCTCACATTGCATAATTGTAGTTTCGGGAGACGATGTGATTTGGCTCCGGCCGTGACCTACACCAGTGCTCTGCAAACTGGTGGATACGAACAATAGCAAAAGCATGATAGCTGATTAAAAACTGCGACTTAAAAAGTAAGCTACTCATGTTTGGCACGTAATTTTCCATGGGGAATTTTAACCCATTACTTTTGCCATTGAATGAGTGACATTTTGTTAAAATGTTGGGAATTGAGCTCTACTTATAGTCAACATGTCTGACTGTTCCCGCGAAATGAGAACTACATGGTGGTGTGAGACCACAATCGCACTCATGCCACAGTCAGTATGAGCCAGGGGGTAGTTTGGGGTTTTATACATTGGACCAAGCTGATTTATGTTTTTTTTATAATGTACATTGTCCTATCGAACCATCAGTTCAGCCCCTGGCTTGATGGATATACCGAATAATACATAATTTAATCATCTATGGAAAGTTGCCAACACAAGTTTTCTGTTGAGCGGTGCTAAATCAAAACATAAAAACTGCAACCAATACCTTCCAGTACCCCTTTGTGACTATAGACCAGACTGTGGATGTGTGTATGTAATACATGTTTCATCCTTGCAAATTTCAGGGTCTCCAATGAATTATTCAAGTACCCCGGAATTTGTGTTTTTGTGCGAGTCGAACATTATGCATTTCCCTATTTCGCCCTGTTGTGGAATGAAATGGCTACGAGCAAGAAACCATGGGCAGAACTGATGGGAAGTGGCAGGAAGAGGAAGAGAAGTTTATTGGAAATGACACTGTTGATCTTCAGTGTGAGTCATTTGACTGGTGGGGAGCGGGTATGGGAGGGTGTGAGTCTAGGGAGGGGGAGGGGGGCATCACCTGGTCTTCGACAGATGTGACGCCTCCTGTACCTGCCAGGCCCCATTAGACGCAGCTGCTCTAAAAATATAGCACCCAGGTTTACTTTTGGCGATGGCAAAATCAGAACCTGTTCCATTTCTGTAAAGTTCATATGAATCACATTCGGGCTGCTCGCTTGACCACACAAATGAGTGTTTGAATAATGAATGAGACTGCGCTGACCTGGGCTATCTCTGCGGCTACTGCTGCTGCTGCCGGAGATATCTGTGTTTGTTCCTGTCTAGTGACGCCTTTCGCAGCAGGGGTTCAATGGCTCTGAATTAGAGTGTTTATTACTGCATCTTCACTCATGACATCATGATCCAAATTACAATCTTATGAGGCACATAAAGCAAGGAATTTAAGCTCATCAGTTTCTTTGATTTTGCAGTAATTCCTAAGAAATATTTTTTTAAATCCCAATGCATTCTTACTTTTTCTACACTGCTCTGGATGATACAATTCACAAATGACTGGGCAAAAAAAAGGCAAACATTACATGTACCCATTTTGGTTGATTCTGTTAACTGATAATTGTGAATGTTATATCTCACTGTTTTCCTTCAAAACGATTGTTACATTCCAAGCTATGGAGTTTGATTTTTTTAACAGTTTTAGCTGTAGTTTTCAACGATTAAAGTGTGCAAGACTCAGTCCACATTCCAGTCCATCATGCATCATGACAGCATGTTGCTGCTGTAGCATACGGTGGAGTCGATCGTACACAATTTGGCAAAAAAAGATTTGTCTTTTTCTTTTTTGCATAACCCTATGTGTTTGGGTGTTTGGGGAAATTAGAGATATTGGTGCTCTGCCCCAGCATCTTAAATGCAGGATAATATATATTATTTAAATATGCATGAATACCAATTTGAAAAGGAAATGAGAAGGAAAAACAATAATAACGTGGTTAAAAACATTTCTAAATGATATCTAATTTAACCCACACTGTGTTGTTTGAAAAACAATTGTATTTGCTTTAACAAGACTCACTTGGTTTGAGTAGATTCAGATTTGTCTCTTAATATGTTACATTTACTACTATTAAACACAAACATTTCGTTCTTGAAGACTGTGCCAATTATTTCTCTGCTTCAGCGAGAGTCATTCCAGTTTTTAGAGGTCTTCGAGGCTGACATAAAAAGCTCCTCAGTCAGCCCTGAACAGGTGTGCGTCTGAAATGAGCGTGACCCGTCCTGCCATAGCAAAGGTGAAACACGGGGATCACTGCTGTCTGCGCCTCCATCACATTTTCAGGAAAGAGTTCATGCCTTAAATGGGCAAAACTGCACTTTTACAGGCCTCCTGCAGAATGCTAATGTTTCGGGACAAAAAGTCTCATCTCGGCCCCGGCCTGAAGAGATCTAATGGCGGCTTTACAAGGCTAATTAACAAGCCATGAGTGAGGTAATGAACTTTCCAAATGTGCTGGCAAACGCAAAAATAAATGACACCCCAGTGTAGGCATTAAAGGCAGTGTGAGTGTACTTCAGAGGCCTCCTTTGGGAAAGCCACTGCGAGAAAATGAATTCGGAGCTGCTATCTTTTCATTGCCGGACCTGAGAGTGTCTCGGATGGCTCACTGCGTGCCCTGGCCAGAGTATAGATTGCTATTAATTAGTCCACTTTACACCTGTCTCCCAAGAAGCTCTTATTGGATTTTGCAAGTTTCTCCACATCTCTTATGGCCACTTGCAATGTTTAAATTGACATTTTATGAATATTAATAAATATCTAATAATGAGCCTTCTGCGCTCACATTGGCCCATAAGTCCAAATGGATATCAGGTAAGTGTTGAACATTTTTCTTTACAAGTAGACCAGTGTACAGTAAGCTTGAGATTTAATAGTTTGAAAAGTCTCACCACAGTAAGCAATTTTATAGTGTAATTGCATACACTATATGCATTACTTAGCAATCATCACATGGATTATCCTTTTGTAATAGATTGGGGCCACCACAAATGATCTTCCACCAGGCACACACGCACATTATTTTCACAGGGATCCTTAATGACACAAGAAGAACAGCTTGTGACCTCTCGGGGCACAACATGACACAGTATAATTCTATAATAAAATAATAGAGTAAAGGGCATTTCAGAATTTCAATTATATGTTACACTTTTGCTGGTCCCTGTGAACGTGCACCTGGAGATCTATAGATATACAAATGTCCATGCCAACCTGTCGTGTTGACAGCTCTGTTTCATAAATGCAAATAAAAAAACGGAGATCAAAAAAGTTATCAAAACACAACTGACATCTGACAATTGGTTGTCTCAGGAAACCCTTTCATTTCAGCACCCGGTATATTAAAAATTAATGGATTTTGCACAGACGCCATATGCTGTCAAGATTGATGCTCCTCTCCGTGGAATAAAGTGGTACTTGTGTTACAGGCTGCAGTGTATGCATATAGAGTGTCTTTTCTCTCCATACATCTCTCCATTGTCTCCATAGCACCCTTTACTGTCATTCTTACCACTATCTTCAGGCTATGATCCATTTTCTGTGAAGTCTAGCTTTCAAAAAGTTTTAGTCTTCCACTAGTATTAATATTCCCAATAAAAAGAACTTTTGTTGTCTTGTGCGGTAAATATTCTCCCTTTTTCACAGATTCTATCACTTTTTTCCCCGCTGGCAGTAGTTAAGGAAGCTTGGTGGTAGTAAATGTTCAGAAAGCACGGACAGCTGCATTCAACGATAAAAGATGCCTCCTAGGCCACTGGGTGCATTTGAAACACACAGTAATGTTGCAGGCGGCATAACAACACACAGAGTTGAGAGGAGTTCTTTCAGACTCATTAGAAAACAGTGGTGCGTCCTGGCTCATGAGCCGAGGGGGGCTTGCACCAGACACACATCGGCGAGATAACTTCTGTCTTTGTTTTCCTCAGTGGCAAAGTGAGGTTACAATGTGTATGGTCATTAATGCAGACGGCTAAAACAAGTCTTATGTGTTTAAAATAGAATTGTAACTTTTTTACCAAATACTTCAGTGTGAGTTGGATGGGCAAATGTTTATTGACACTTTTTTTTCCATTAGGTGAAAATGGACCAATATCAGTGGGGAATCTTGCAATACTTGTAATATCTCCCCAGGATATTTTGAGTAACACAAATGAATGTAATTGTCAACTGCAAATCATAAATGTTAATGTTTAAACTAACTTAAGACAGTAAATGGCCATTGGCGACTTTAATCAACTTATCTTGGAAGGGGAATAGCACTTTACCTTCAGGACACACTCACAGTGATGGATCACCTGTCCTCTAAACAGTGTTAATGAAA